GTAGAATACAGTAGAGAACTCTTTGGAAAAGCTCATCCAGGACGGTTTGACTAGTTTCCTAGGCTGAGGGGTTATTATCGAATCGAGAGATCGGCTAGCTCGACGTGGTCCATTGCACCTTTCCAGCTGACTGAGCTTAATCTCTCATTGTCGTTGAACCATGCAGAGTTCCTTGTCTACCGCTTTTTGTTCTTCAATGGTTCCTGGCACACCAGGCGCTTCAAATTCCACCGCCAGGGTGTTGAAATCGGCCGCGCCGAGCGTTCCTGGAACGGATGAGGGGCTGGATTCGATACTACTCCTAGGCAGATAGACTGTTTCGAAGGCAAGGCTCGCAGTTAGGGCCTCAGAGCAATCCTCTCCGTAGTGAGGTAGCGCGGTCTCCAAGCGCAGGAATCGTGGCACTGTCATGACTCGAAAATGAGCAACAAAGACGTTAGCGCTTTGCTTTGGCTACCGGACCGCTGCCATTTTTACTTCTTCGCAGAATAGGTCGTGTCTGTGCCCTCTCAATTGACGTGCACTCTCGCGTATTCCCTCTTCTCGCTGCACTATGTCTCGCCGCCGTAGCACAGTCGACTGGACAAGAGAACGAATTCCTTGATTTTAGTGCTTCAGATTGATTTTTTTATTCCTTCTCTACCTATTATCGCTCAAAGACTCCCTAATAGGTACCTTTTGCAGCCGGCTGACAGGCGTGTGTGCATTGCAGACTTCACAACACAAGTGACGAAATTTATTGGTCCTAAAATTCAATCTCAATTCAATCTTTTCAAAATTGGTTTTCTGCCAGCAACATGATTGGTCATTGCATTTCCATTCTATCAATTGTCACTTATCACAATACTGTTTTTATCAACTATCAGCTATCTATATGAATAAATTACATGCCGCAGTCATTTGGGAGACGTCGTCACTTTTGTTGTGGAGTCCGTAGTGCAGAAGTCTCTGACCACTACATAGAACCGATAATTGTACTTGTTACCTGTGGCCAGAGCCGTGAACAACACGGTCCACGAAAACCATAGCGAACATGAGATTAGGAAAGCTCGAGATACATATTTATTGATTTTTCAGACGGCATTTATTGGTCTCATACTCAACGCATTCATCGCCATCTATATACGACGCCTCGCAGTACTCCGAAATTCTTTTGGACGACTACTTCAGCTACAGGTGATTGCAGAAAATTGATTTTATCGATTATATTGATTTCCACTTGTTTTTGATTATCAAGAGCTGTTTCTGATCGCAGTTCGCCATGCGAAGGAGTGCGGTTTTGATTCTTCCGTCTGGGGCAGAAGTTTGCCCATGTCCCAGCATTGTTCTGGCGACACTGCCCAATAAATTCCAAAGTGTAGACGCCCTGTTGCCAGCACCTTGTAATTCTTGCGCCGCTTTTCTGCCAGTTGTAGACGACGTCCCACACGACTCCCTCTCCACCAGCACCCCTCTTTGCGCCTCCTTTCTCCCTCTCACTAGCTCGACTGTCCAAAGAATGAGGGCGCTCTTAGACTCTATGGAATTTATATGCTCGGGCGAACGTCTTATGGCCAGCACAATGTGTGAAATAATTGGCGTTGCGCCATGCATTCAACTGGCATTTGAGATCCTATGGACTCTTGAGCATGTTTGTCCCGTACTGAATACTTTGCGCTCATGATGGTACTTTTGTCGCCTTGTCGCAGCCATTCATCACTCGCCGAGACGAGAGAGGCTTGGGCGGAATAGAGCAAGGGGGTGGGGGGGGCACTGCCATCTCAGTGAGCCCGTAGATGAGAAGAGAAGTTTCAGAAGATAACTGCATTTTCTCTTCCTCTCGAGGTTGAAGTTTGCAATGGATCACAGAAACCATTCATAGAGATAATTCCAGTGAGCCTAAAAAAAGTGATCCTTAGAAAGCGAAGCTGCAGAAGATGAGATTTCCCTTTTCTGGAGATTCTCTGCAAAAACGCTGGCAATAAATGTGTGACAGGTTTCACAAAAACTTTAAAGGAATCTTCCACGGAAAAAGCTCCGCCCTCATTACCACAGAAAACGATACCTTAAAGGAATCTTCCACGGAAAGAGTGATCATTTTGTCTTGTGTGTAGGATTAGTATTATCGAAACTAACGCTTATGTTCCGTTCTTTTTGCTATGAGGGGCCTAAGGTATCGTTTTTCTGTGGTAATGGAGGCGGAGCTTTTTCCGCGGAAGATTCCTTTAAGTTTGAAGGTAAACTTAGCTGCATGATATTAGGGGCTTGTTATTCTTTTATTAGCAGTATCGTTCCTTTGTCTCAGTGTTGTTTTGCTTTTCCCAAAAAGTGTCGAGCTAAAAAACCAGTTTTCTTTAGGCAATCGGCGATGGTATTTTCGTTGGAGTATGGGCAGTCTATTTCGCTCCAGTTTTGTTGTTGTGAGTCTTCTTTTTTCGATTGCAGTTTAAACTTATTTTTTTTCTAAGTTAAACACCTTTTTTAAACTGGTTTTGTTAAAGCAAATTAAAAATTTGCTACAACAGAAGATCAGCTGGAGATTTGCTGCGAAGGGGCTTGGAAGCAGGGTCAACCCTACGTTGTTACGAGTAACAACGGGGGGGTCGTACCTGGTTGAGTTTGTAGGAGGGGGGGGGTCGTACCCACTTTAGTCGCTCGAAATCACGGGTGGGATTGAGGAGAAACTAAGATTTCGTGGGTAGTAGGTTGTGCGAGATTTAAAAGTGGGCGGGGTTTTGATGGAAGATGGAGATGGTGGAGGTAGGGAAAAGGGGGTCGTATCAAATCCACGTTGGGGAGGGGGGTCGTAAAAAATTTTCGAAAAGTAACAACGATAGGACAGACCCTGGTTGGAAGACGCGTCCGAAATATATGCAAAGTAAGATACGCCACGCATTTCAAATCACTCTGGCTCGTTGTAATGCTTTTTGATTGCGCTCGGAAGCGCAAGCAAAAGCTTACATAGTCTTGGATTTCTTCTTTGTCCGTGGTTTTTTTTTATGTTTAGTGGCAACTTCAATGATGGATGAATTTATTCAGTTAGAGTTTGAATGTTGGCAGCGGCCACAAGGCTGTATATTCGTTTTTCGCTACTACATTTAATAACATTTACAATTCCCATCATTGATGCAATTCTGCCTCCCTTGAATAGGTGGTCATTCCGCGCTCGCAAAACTGAAAGTACGTGCGCGGCTTAGTGGTCACCAATGATGGAAAATGCACACACAGCGACTCTAGCACAGCCTTCCTAGTATTGGTTGGCCTGCGAGGGCCAAACATCCACGAATCCTCCCGCACATTAGCTAGATAGTCGCCATGTAAAAACTATTTCTTCTCTTCCAATTCTATATTTTATTTTATATTTATTTCTATTCTTCTTTCTAATATCTTTCTCCATTAATTCGCTAAAACTATAAGAGAGAAGAAAAAGTAGCCGAGGATGTGCAGTAAGAAATGGCACACCAAGCCACTTGTGTGGTCAGGGATTGACGGGTCAGCCAGGACACACATCACACTTCACACTTCTGGCAGAGCATTTGCTATATTGGTACCCCTCACTCACCCCGTAGGTTCAGCCCACGATTTGAACACGCAGCGGCAGTGGCGCATTGCACAAGGTACCGAAACTAACCTAAGTGATTCATCTTTCTGAATTTAAAGGATTTCTCGTCCCCTAACCCCTTCGGGGAGGATAGCATACGGCCCTTTATCCCTCGATACCCACACTGCAACCTTCCCAATTCATCCTAATTCTTTGAACCTTTGTCTACGACACTTTCAGAATGATTAAATGGAATGAATTACGCCGTAATTCCAATCCTAACTATTCTACCATACCGTCATGATTAGTTTATATTTTGATTACATTATTGTTTATTCCTTTGAAAGGTAAATAGATTCCGGAATAATTCACAAAGTGGATTTTTCGTCATGTTGACGTAAGAGTTAACATACTAGTGGAAAGGTTTCGATAACAGCAACATTGCTATCAAAATAGATTAAGGGACTTTTTGAAAAATAAGTGCTTCCTGAAATCGGGAAGAGGCCTCCTAAGTTCGTAACCTGAATGTGTTTTTCCTCGCTGTAGGAACTTCATAAAATTAAGTGCTTGTGTGGAATGACGACGTATGACATAGAATAGTATTGAATTACGGCATAATTCATTCCATTTAATCATTCTGAAAGTTTGTCGTAGACAAAGGTTCAAAGAATTAGGATGAATTGGAAGGTTGTAGTGTGGGTATCGAGGGATAAAGGGCCGTATGCTATCCTCCCAGAAGGGGTTAGGGGCAGAGAGAATCGCTTCAAAATTGCAGAAAGATGACCATATCTTACGCATACACAGAATACTTGTGCAATGCCGCCCGCTTTACGTTTTCGTTCGAATGTGGTGGCCTACGGGGTTGGGGAGGAGTACAATTAAGCAATCCATACTCGCACACACACACACACATTGTTGGCCTGGCTTGAACGCGTTCATCCGTAGACCACACAAGTGAGGCCAGTGGCCATTTCTTTTTGCTATCGTGGCCGGGAGGTTCGGTGGATTGTTTGGCCTCAAGGAAGGGTTGGCAAGTGTGGGTATCGAGAGATGAATGGCCGTATGCTATCCTCCCCGAAGGGTTAGGGGACGAAAATTCCTTTAAATTTTCTGTCTTCCCAACTGGGATTGCCCTGAAAAGGCCTACATTAATGTATGTATGTAGGTTAAAAGTAAACATGCATTGAAAATGAAGAAACTACATCGTTCAAAGCAAATCAATTTAACGGAAGTTTATAGAAGTACACTAGCTCGGGTAAGGATAGCCAATACGCCGCAAAGGTGCAGCGAGGGAAGGGGGGGGGCGGATTTTCAAGAGGAAAAGTTCTTAGATGAATTAAGAAGTTAAACTGGGAATCTGTTTATAACACGAGCCACACTCTCATAACACTCTTACTAATACCAAAGGACCTGCTGAATCTACCTCAGGGACATGCAGGCGCGCAGTAGCCACATCCAAGCTCAAGCTTTGAGGGAACGGAAGAGGGATTGTGGGGTGTGTAGATGCAAATTCCGTGATTCTGGCTGTCCTCCCTTTCCTGAACCTGAAATCTAAACCGGTCGCCTTACCATCCGAGAATCATAGCAGGTCAACCGTTACGTTGGACCGACGTTGGACCGACGTTGACCGCTCCGCGCATTCGCACTCGCCTTGCGCGAGCCGTCTGTGTCTCCGTGCGTACGTTCACTCTCGGCATTACTCTCACACGCTAGAGAGCCATGCGTTGGACTTTGTCCAACGGACGGTTGACCCTGCTAGAAAGCGAAACTATCGGAAATATGCATTCACCGAAGAGATACGATTCCATAGCAGGCAGTACATGTACGTGTACCGTATTCAGAAATCGAGAACCTCAGAAGCAGCTAGAAGTGCCAGAGATTTTCGTCCCCACTCTCGAGGAAACTGTTGAATTGAATTTGTATGCGGTCTGTTTCAACGGTGTTGTTTTCGATTGAAACCACTAAAATATTCTCGGAATTTACTTCCGCAATTATTGCCAGGTGTATTCTCAGATCCGCGCAGACATAAAAACACTCTGTCCGATTAAGATTATTATGGCAGGGGCCCACCACTTCTCATCATGTCGAAGTTAAGCGTCGGTGCTATTAGTACGGGCTGTTTTATGAGCTATTAATGGTAAAATGAGTAATTATGCCTCACGCAAAGGCAAGTTCAGTAGTTGAAGCGTTGTGATGAGGTGAGGTAGACCTACAGTTGGTTTTTAGGGCTTAAAGGAATCTTGCGCGGAAAATTCTTGCACTCTTTCCTAACATGAATATGTCAGTTGTGATCACTGGAAATAGCACACAAAGTTTCACGCATGAAGATTCGGTTTCTGAAGAGAAACAAACGTACAAAAACTACACGTTATGGACCATCGAAGGACCAGGAGGCAGAGCCAGGCGAGGCATGGAAAGAAGACGGCGTTTGGCCGGCTACGTACCAGGCGACGCAATGAGAGAATCGGGTTAAGCGCGCGATTTCGGAGAGTGGAGACAAATCGATCGATGGAATAGGATGGAGTAGAAGTGTAAGATGTGAATGCAACGAAGCAGAAGGCCAGAAAGAGCTTCTAGTGAATGCACTCCAAGAACCAAGTTTGAGCATCCCCGTCGCCAGCATTCGTGAAAGACGTCCGTGGGCAATTCGAACGCAGCCTTTTCGAGTTTTCGAATTTCTAATCAAAACGAAAGCAATACTTCAGTTCTTTTCACTATTATCGTGGATAATGAGTCTCAAGCCAGTGATTTATGGCTGAAATAGAATCATGATTTTTCCGCGCAAGATTCCTTTAACTCGAACGGGAGACGCGCCGTTTCTCCTCGCTCGGGTCAGGTCCCCACAGTTGCGCGATTATTGAAGCTCAGGCTTAAGTTTGGGTTCAGACTTAGGTTAAGGCTTATGCTTACACATTGGCTTATGCCTAAGCCTATAATTGGGCTTAGGCCTAGTCCTACGCTTGCTCCGAGCGAATGAACGGCGTCTCAATTTTAGGTGACCTGAACTCAGGAGGAGAAAATCTACGCACCCAATCTCGACCTCACCGTTAGCAGTGCAGAACTCCAGGCTGTAATGCTACGGCGTAGACATTTCTTGGGCTTTTTTTTTTACCCTGGAGAGAAACTGTATGTTGGCGCCATCAGACATAATGGAAGAACTGGTAATCTGGCTGCGAAAAGCGTCGAAACAATTCCATAATGTTTTTGGCTTGTAAAAGTTCTAAGGCGGTGTTGGCTTCCCTAGCATATCAACTCTCCGCTCAAGGGTCCTGAACCTCGCTCCTGCGATCACAGAACTGTGGAGGGAGCGAAGTAAGTAAGGGCTTTTGGCATTTGTCACCGCTCAATCCGCATGCCAAAGAAGTGCACGGCGCATCACGACCCAATGACCGGAATAATTTTGAGGCATTCAATTCCAACTCAGCGTCTCCTTGTGAAAATTCACTTTATTGGCATGCTTGCCGAAACTGTTCTGGAGCTAATTTTCCTTGAGTAGATGGTAAATAACCTCAGATTTTCAAAACAACGTAGTAAAAAATTCAAATGTGTATCTTTTAGCGATATCAAAGCGATTCAACGCATCGAAGTGGCCGCTCGATTTGGTCAGCTTTGTTTAATATGCTACGACATATCCATCTATACTCACTTGGTTATTTCGTTGAACAGGTTAGTCGGTTAATTTTCATTTGAACCTTTTTGAGTTGAGAAAGTGTTTTCCTTAGAAACATCTTCAAGTTCTGTTTAGTTTCTGTCTTTTGATCTCATTTTCAACCCTGTGTTATGCATACGTATTGATTTTCTTTGGTTCCAGATTTGTTTCTGTCTACATGCCGACACATTACAAAGCGATATTCACTGAACGTTTCACGACTATTCTAATTGCGGGTATTGTATTGCTATCGTTTATCTTCTCCTTCTTTTTAGTACTAGGTGAGCAATCGTCCTACTGGTATATAAATTATTTGTGCACGATGTTTTTTTTTCGATTTTATTCCTTAGTAAATGAAATTGGTTTCGAAATTTTTCCTAATTTTTTCTACTCTCCCTTGTAAACATTGCTTGGGAGACATGATTTGTTGGGATGTTCCATACAAAGATTTTTGTACGTTTCCATCCGGCCTTTCCCTATTTCCTCTCCTTTAGGGTGTGAGACAGAAGACTGGATCATGTCTCCATTTAAAACTTGCTCACGTTTTCTGCGCTGAAAGCTTGAGTAGCAGATGGAGAGGGACTTATCGGAGCCTTTGAAAAAACATTAGTTCCCCCTAGAAGACTGTATCCACTTCCACGCGAATATCCTTGTCTTACTTCCTACACTTGCCACGCGGGTTATACTCGGAAGTGAAACAACAGAGTTAAACAAATATTTATGACTCACTTAACTATCCCAATCGACCGAATGAAATACAGTATAAATAAAACCCAGAGAATCTTCCGATTAGCTACGAACTGTCGAACTTCTACGCGGTGACGTTAGGGAGCAGAATTCTACGCGCATAAGAACCGCACCAGAGATCTCGCGCAGCTACAGACGTTCCATGTCCCCCCACTGTTTTCTTCCTGCGCTTTACGGCTCTCAGTAGCGTCCTTATTTTTATCCAGGCCTCTTCCCTCCGGCGCTACTTCAACCAGGGTGAAAATCGTGTCGAGTACGTGGTCGCAGAGGTACGACCCCCCCCCCCCGAAATCGAGATCCTGGCACGACCCCCTCTAACAGAGCAAATTAATTCAATTAAAATAAATCCTGCAAAACAAATCAAAAAAAATCAAAACAATCTTCTGCAAAATAATGCTAAGGACGCTTCATCTTGTCATCTATGCACGTCTTCCATCGCTGCATACTTTTGTGTACATACTGAAATATCGACTCGAGGAAAGAGGCATTAACTTTGTGTGACCTCAAGGCGAGGTTCGTTCAGAAACGCACAGAAATCCTGAAGACACGGGGTTGCGATTCAATCTTGATTCTTGCTTGAGTATATCAAAACAGCCGAGTGTATCAAAGGCCGATTCAACGGCAGCTGCGGCGCGATTGTCACTGGGTCAGATTTGCCGAAATTTCAAAAAAAAACGTCCGAATCTACACCCTCGATGAAAAGGTTGCATTCCTCCATTTCACAACCTTTGAAGCAGCTTGAGGTAGAGTTAGATAGAGCTGGATTTCGCGTTTCCAACAAGCATCGAAATTGCTCTGGAAGCCTTCCTTGCAGAAAGATAGGGTCTGTCAAATTTCGTCGAGTAAATGTCGAGGAGGCCGAAATTTTCACGCGAGTTTTGCCACTTCAAGAGCAATATATCTTATATTGTAAGATCCTGAAAAAGGGAAGATAGTTTTGGAAAGCGGAAGGTTTGCGCTTCCTGATGGTCTGTTTAGTTTTCTTCTACAGCTTTTTGGTTGAAGAGATAATTGCGTCGAGGATCTATCGAGGTCGGATCCGGCCACCTGGAAATCCGCTCCCTCATTCACCATTGCAAGTGTGACTCGTTGGCAACACTCGGAATGTGTCTAGAACAATATCTTTGAACGCAAACAATAAGAATAGGAGCAATCGTCATCATCCGATTTGGTATTGGTATAAGCCATGCATCCCTCCTCCACTCACAGTTGCAGAATCGATTGAAAGGTGTTATATGATGGGGACCTTCGAACGAAACTGTATTGTAGTAGACAT